TGTGATAACACTGCCATAGATGGTCTGTAATATGTGTACCAGGATTTGAGTAAACTTTATAAGGGCAGAAATATGTTGTGTAGTAGCGACCAGACCATAGTACCCGATATAGAAACTGGGGTGCAAGTGGTAGGCCTCAGCCTGTATATATCAACTAAAGATTAGGTTAGCTAAATTGTGGGTACAGAAGGCTCTAGCAGGTTTACCTCTAAGGATAAAAGGCTCTTGGAGGCAAAGAGCCTGCCTTAAAGCCTAAGTCAGTATCCAAAACTAAAGGTTTCCAAATTGGATTCTTACTCGGTTAGTAGTGTAATTACATAGGCGCAGAGGGTTTAAATAGATAACCCTCTAGTCAGGTTATAGATATGATATCTAGTGTAGAACTTAGTAATAAATGGACTACTTAAAATAAGCAACCAAAAGTTGTATATGTGGCTAGTTATACTCTCCAAATATATATACGGTATATAAAAATCATACTGTAAAAATTATAACTATAATCAAATAAAGGAATATGATCAAGAGATCACTTTAACACCAAAAAAAAAAATAATAAACATAAAATATTACAAATAAGAAATACTAAACTACTTTTTTGATTTTTTATTATAAATATATCAAAATTGTAATTTTAATTATTAAAATATATAGAAATATAAATTCTTTGTATTACTCTAGATAACAAAAAAATAGCAAATATAAAAGTATTTAATGCCAAAATAAACACAAAAAAAATTAAAAAAATTTACAAAAAAATAATAAAAACTATTTTAAAAATCTATTTTAAAAAGCTAAAAATAAACAATAATATTAAAGATCTATTTTAAAAATATTTAAAAAAATAAAAAATATTTGTTTGTAACCAAAAATTGTCACTCTTCTTAACAATTCTCTGGTCAACAACAAAATAAATTGAACTATAGTTAAAGCTATAAAAAAGTGACAAAGTGAATACTATAAAACTCTTGTTGCATATCTACAAGCTTGCTATTAATGAAGCTTATATATATAAAATATCAAAAAATAGATATATAATAAAAAGCAGAACTAGTATCTTAAGTCAAGCTTCTTTTCTATAAACTGTTGTCGATGAAGTTCTTAAATATAATATACTGAGATATAGATATTGTAGACAGTTTGCACAGAAGTCAAGCCTAGTGAATTAACCCAGGTGGGTATCACCCAGGTCACCTGTGGGTAGGTGGGTGACCCAGGTTAAGTTGTTGCAGATCAGATGAAAACAGATGGGTCAACCCATGAGTGACTTGCTAGTTGTTTCGTGGGTGACATAACTTTCTCGTAATTGGCCAATTACATAAAATTGAATCCGTGATATGATTGGCTATCAACGCAACATGTGACAATCAACCAATCAAACTACATTATATCTGTAAACTTAATTTTTTACTTTCACAAAATAATAAAGAAAAAAGAAACTACACACATTTTTTTTAAATACCTATCGTATCTTTTACACCAAACTTATATAATATTTAAGGATCTATAGTTTATTATACTAGAGCTCATTATAAGATTTGTTAGAGCCCTGTAGTAATCCCTGTTTATATATGTATATAAAGTTTTAAACACTTGTTACTATTTCTACTCTTATATATCAATGTTCTTTATGTTTTAAATCTCTTATATATAGCTTAGAAATCACTTTATCTATTTTTTTAAAAAAAAAATTGTTTTTTTTAATAACCCAGCTACATTTAACATTTTAGTAATTACATATAGTTACAGTATACTTAGAACTTTACCTTCTAAATAAGGTACCTCTAGGTCTGTTGGCGCTTCATTTTTACTTTGAAATATTACATTCTTAAAAATACTACATATAATAAACCCAAACTTGTTAATACAATCTACGATCTATAAACCAAGACTTATTACAGCTAACAAACCCACATATAACTTAAGAACCAAACAATTTCAAGTATTAAACCTGGAACTTCTTTCACAGTAAACCTATTCTTATTCAAATCAATAGTTAGTTATAAAGTTTTTTTAAAAAATCTAACATAATAAGGCAGTTTTGAGAAAAACATTCTCACTTATCTTTATTTTCAGTATAATTTAAGATCATTTAATAAATAGTAAGTATTTTTTGTCTTCTAAGCAATGTTTACCAGGATTATTATTTTTAGAGTATTTTTTTTTTGCAGTGTGTATGTTGAAGCTGTTTTAAAGTTATGAATATTTTTTTGACAATTAGTAAAAATGCTATTAAAAAGTACTTTAAAGTGTATAAATAACGATTTTTCTCCTTCACCTATGGTTTTTTTTAAATGACCCGCTGGGTGATCTATCAGATGATCTATGGGTAACCCGGGTGGTTTCTTTTTTAGACTGACCTGTTTTTACCTGGGTGGGACATTGTTCACCTGACAGGTAACCCGGGTGAAAAATTTTTGAACAGGTCAATTTACTAGTCAAGCCTTCTTTTGTTACTAGAGTGAACTCTTCTATATATTTAGTATCCAAATTAAAAAATCTTTGAAAATAACAAAGAAAAAAATAGACTTTTCTATATCTTTGATATTTAAACCAAAAGATATTTTGAAAACAATATTACTGCAGATTTCTGTACAAGAGTATCAAGTAGAAACAGAGAAACTAAATTATACAACTATAACTTTTACAAAAAGAATCTCTTGTTAGCTTACCACTTTTTTCAAAAAAATTTTTGTAAAAAGTGGGTGTTTTAGTTTACTTTTTCCAAAAAATTAACATTACATATACCAAAACAGTTAGCATTGTTTATTTTCTAAATCAGTACAACAGAACAACAAATATATCAAGACATATGTCTTGAATATAATGATCTGATCAAATAATGTTCTATAACTTGAATCAAGTACTAACTCTTTATATTAAGATATCTGACATAGTAACAAAGATATACTAATAGTATCATGCTATAGTGACATACCAATGGCATGCCAAATTTGTTTTTGGTATGCCACTAGGTACAGTATAAAAAACTATATTTATAGTATTTATACTATATATTATACTTATAGTATTATAATTATTAATAATCTAATATTTTATGGTATATCTTTTGGTATGTCATAGTGCAAATTTTAACAAAAGGTATGTCTATATTCTATGATCAAAGAAGTATTTTTCTACTGGTTTTAAATTTTCATATACTATATAGATAAATTTAAAGTATGGACTATTTTATTTAGTAGTATGTAATTTTATAAACTATTTATAGGCTCATAATAGTAATTATTAGAATAGACAAATTTCTTTTTTTGTTTTTTTTTGATATTTCTCTATCCTTTTTCTTTTCTTGTCTATATCTTTTATTGTATTCCCTTTTACCTTTGTTTTTTATTTTCTCTTATGTGTTTGTGCTTTTTAATTTGGCTCTTTTGATGAAGCAATATAGCTGCTAAGACTAAGAATCAAAGAGTTTAAATCTTTAGTAAGTTGAAGATCCAATGTGAAGCTAATTGCTGCTAAGTAGGTTGTTCTTGAGCTTAGCTCGAATTGATCTTTACTTGTATAGAATATAGTATAAAAAATTGTATCATTCTGTTAATATAAGTTCTAATATTTCCAATAAAAAAATAATAAACAGGATACTGAATTAAAAAAAAAAAACATTTGTATTTAAATGCAAATTAATATGTTATTACATGATTAGTATTATTATCACTAGTGATATCTAAATTATTATTAAATTTAATTTTTTAAAAATTTAAAATCTTAATTATTAACAAAAAATCTTAAAATTTATTATACAAATTGATTTTAAGCTCTTAAGCAAAAATATTCTAATCAAAATCTAATTTTATAAAATAATATTAATTATCTCAATAAAATTTTAAATAAATAACTTTTAAATATAAATATTTTATAGTAATTTTTCAAATCAAATTAAATATTGTTAAATCAAATCAAATTTGATTATATTTAAATTTGGTCAAATCAAATATAATCAAGTTTGAATTGAAATTTGATTGAATATTTGATTCAAATATTTGAAGATTAAATCAAATTATAAAACACTACTTGCTAATATAAAAATAACAAACAATACCAATCTTTTGATAAAGGTAAACCAAATCCCTTTTTGTCAAAAAAATAAATAACAAAAAGAAGTAAAGACTACTAAATTTAAAACATATTTGTCTAGATTGTTTATAATGTTAAATCTTAATTTTTTATTAATTTGATCCCTTTTCTCAACACCTAGTGCATATATCTAATTAATAGCTTCTCATATATTTATCGTAAATTCTCGAAATAACGGCATTCGCGCGTTATTTTGAATTTCTGATCGATATTCGAATAGAGAATGTCTTCACGATTATGTGATAAGCGAAGTTCTGCAGTGATAATGGATGCGTTATTATATTAGTTCACTCTTCACGAATGAATAAAAATTATCGGCATGTAATTACAGTGAAGGTTCTTCACAATTACCATGTGCAAGTATTTTATTATAAAACACACGATCAAAATTATTATGAAGTGCGCGTTATTTCGAGCGTTATTTTAAAACAAACTGTACTATTTTAGGGGATCGATTTTCTAAATAATGCTATTACAGTAAGTCAATCTAACAAATAAACAATACAACGGAACTACTATAATAAATATAATTAAATTTTTATTTATGAATATGAACGTGCTGAAGATGTTAGGCTTAAAACTCATCGAGTTCCAACTTTGATCGCTCCGATGTCGTGGGGCCGTGTGTTTTATTTATTTTGCAGCTCTAAAACAATACAAATAACACACTGTTGGGAACGATAAGAACGATAACATACATCTGAGAAAATAAAAAATGAATGCTGTACTTTATAAAATGAATTATATGCTTCGCGTACAATATGTGATAAAGATAATGTGACGTTCTTAATTAAATAAATACGATTCCAATAATAATACTGACTACTCGAATTAATTAATACCTGAGGAAATAAAATTAAAGATTCCAATAAATTACTACTTATAAAGTTTCAGCAAATCTCAATAACTTAAAATTCTAAATTGAATATAGCATCAACGCTTTTTCCATTTTGATTTTTACAATATGCACGAATTTCCATTTGCCCAAACGTTAAGGTAAATTCCAACTTTCGATTAAATCCTAAGTGCGAATCCGGAAAATCCAATATCAATTCACCTAATTTTTCCATTCCCGGTTCATCAGGGTATTTTCCATCATATGCTGGAGTTTTGTAAATTTTCATACTAGCAGCTGATTGATCTTCTATACTTGGGAATAATTCTTTACCAAATTCTTCATCTACATCAACTATTGTTCCACGAGAGACAAGTTTACTAAAAACATTGATACGTCCATGAGAAATCTTACGTTCCGGCGGATCACCTTTTTTCCATTGTGGTGACAGTTCAATGCCATAGGTCCATTTTAGGACTCTAGTTTTAATAGTTTTCATGTTTAGACCATAGTCCAATGCACCCCTGTAAAGCAGTCACGGAATTAGTGTGATAATGGCAAAAAAAATTATATTTCAAAATGTTATAAACTTTATAGTTACCTTACAATAGCAGCAATCTATCAAGAACCAGATTAGGCAAACAGAATGAAGTTGAAAAATATTTATATATAGATTCAATTAATATTTATAAATAAACTTCAGTGGACTTTTTCATTATTAAAAAAAATATATTTACCGGTTGCTTTGGGACGTTAATATTCCTAACCTGAGCTCCAAACTCTTGTTTAATTCTCGTCTGAAGGTATTTGGACTCACTAAACCCACCAACCAGAAACATTGCAGCACAAGTTCCTGAACCGGCACCGGCATTAAGCTGATTGCTAATCAATCTAATAATCTTGCCTACTACAGGATCAAACATTTCTTTAACGTTTTCAAATTCTAAATCGATTATCCAGTCATCCTTATCTAATTTTATTTTTGTAGTTTCTGACACATATTGTTTCAGCACTGGACATACTTCTTCGATGTCAAGTTCAAAAGTTTTGAAGTCCTTCTTGTTACCTGTAAATGGTAACTTGACACGGCGACAAAATTCTTGTACCATATATTGTAATTGGCCGTAGTGATTTTCGTGCAGCAGACTTATAGCCGAGTCACCAACCCTTCGCTTTAAAAATTTTATAAACTCTTTATCTACATATGTCCCACCGCAGAAATCACCTGAACGTTCAGTAATTTCACCTAGTCTATTATTTTCCAATAACTCCCGCGTTGTAAGATCTACAGTACCACCGCCACAATCCACTATCATAAATGAACCTACATTCCGTGAACGAGATATTTAGAACTAAAATGTATTAAATACCATAACATATACGTCAAAAATACTCACTGCCAACTTCAGTAATCATATGTTCCTTTAATGTTCTCATACAATATATAGCGGCAGCTTCAGCTAAAAAAAGATCGGAAGAGCACACGTCTGAACTCCA